GATGTTGAGCATGATGTCAAAGATGATCCGATTGTCGACTCGCGTCGCCATCTGGAGCAGCAACATCATGGCAATATCACCGGTGCCACAGCAAGAAGGCAGATGAAGAGTAACAAATATGAACTTCAAGAAGGCGGATGGGGTCCGCACGACCATAGTAGATGCATTTGTAGACATGAATGGTGGTGGAGAAGGTCAGAACAAGTGCTCTTAAAGTTCCTCGTAACAGTAGTTGAGTCACTAATCGTGACAAGAGGTCCTTGTGTTACACGTGCTGCGTACTCCAATTCAGGCCAACCAAAGCCTCAGCTACAGGGGGTGCAGAGCCCACCACAACAACGAAACCACAGGGGGCGGGACGGGGATACGGGGGGAAGAGTACCACCACATCATATATATATATATACATACATATATACATTTTCATATATATATATATATAAATACACACACACACACATAGAATGTGGGTGGTCGCACCGCCTCCGCACCCCCACCCCTTGATTCATACCAGCAATCTTGCTGACCGAAACCCAACAGCACGCCCCTAACGCCGGACAAGTCCCGAAAGCTACTGATGTATGGGTTCGATTTCTGAATAAGTACTGTAGCACAGTGTTGTGCGATGTCTGAAATAAGGAGCCCTAGATGAGCATTAATCGGTATTTTGAAGCTGAAGCTTCTTGTACATACGATGACTCTTATAAGGGACACGTTAAACCCTACAATGAGAAACAACTGCGCTCCAGACCTTTCAGGAGCTGCCAGGATCCGAGCATTGCGACCGCGGAGGGCGCTCCACTGCTGGTCCAGCGGGAGGGTTCACGGAACTTTAGGGTTTAGGGTTTAGGGCTTATAGGGTTTAGGGTTTATAGGGTTGAGGTTTAGGGTCTACGTACTCGAACCCCTGAAACTTAGACAGCTTATCATTTCCTTACGTTAACATGTCCATTTCGGTTCTGGTCTAGCGTCTAGGTGTCGGGGGTTTCGGCTTTTTCCATAGAAGGCGCTATAAAGCGGGTCATGCAAGGATTCAGGTTGCCGGGGTTGAGGATTCGGGTTTAGGGTTCGCCTAGCCTGTGAGGGGATGTCCCTCCTGTGCCTTTGGAGGTGGGTTTAAAGTGTACTTGGAGGATCACGGGACGTAGTAAGTACGGCTATAATGCTTTATTTGGGGCTATAAGTAGCTATAAGACTATAAGTATCGATGCCCTTAGTACTAACCTTCGTTGCTAACTCCCATGGGTTCGGGGTTGAGTGAACACCAAGCTGCGCGACGTACCCAAAGTCGTAGTAAGTCCTACAGCTCAGAGTCCAAAACATAGGTGCAATTTTAAAAGCATCGCCTGTTCTTGGATTTATAGACAAGACCCCAAAAGGGACCCTAATTCAGAGAACTACCCATGTTACCTTAAGCCGTCCAAGGTCGATCCAACAAAATGACACAAAAACCTTAGACCCTTATATCCCAACTCCTACCTGAACAAAGGTTATTCAGGGTCCAGGCAAAAATCAAAACGAGACAACCACCTTAAACCCTTTACCCTAAATCCCAAACCCTGAATCGCAGCAATGCAGGTCGATGCGATCTCGAGAGGATTCGTGCCCATTGCCCAGCTGCTGCATCCCGCCTCGTGAAGAACAGCTTCGATTCAGATGGGAAGGTCTGGGGATAGCCTAGCAGGCTCCGAAGTGTGGGGGGGAGTAAAAGTGCATGTTGCAGCGTCTACTGTAGGGACCCGACTTTTTACCATTACTACTCTCGGGGATTTCTTATCATAGTTGTATTAGCTTTTACCATAATCAGGCATCCACGAAAATAGTGTTGGTAATTTTTTCGGCCAGTTACAGAAAAAATAACCCCCAACAAAAACCTTGTTCTAATTATCAAGACCCTACATTAGCCACCAAAGTGTCCGCACTGAGAAGTTCCCCAGGCACCAAGCTCGTGCTTCAGTGGATGCCACCGATCAAGCTGGCTTTACGGCTGCTGGGCGTGCATGGAATTTAGTTCTTGTTTCCTGCTTTTGTTGGCACCCAAAACCCAAAACCCCAAGTACGAAACCTTACCCAGACCTCCAAACTGCCCTATAAGATATCCCAAACAGCCACCATTAAAGACCATAAGGGCTCTACTAAAGGGCTCTTGAAAGATCTTTGGGCTCTGGGGGCGTGGTTTCGGGTTTTAGGTCCCGAAGGACCGAACGACCCTCAAAAGAAGGGGGCCTTGTACCCTCATACTATGACTACACTGCTATGGTTCCCCATATGCTGTATGAGCGTTGAACCCTTTCGGGTACATTTCATCTCTTAGGGGTGGGGAAGGGTTGAGGGTTTGAAGCTCTGAGCCCTAAATTCTGGTTTTTGAGACTACAAGAGCTTGGTGTGCGATGGAGGGCTTATTAGGGTTTACCAGTACTATTTTGGGGCTCCTTAATAATAAACGAATTACAGTACACAGCACAGTATAATACTCCCCCAAAGCCTACTCGAATGACTCACGTCCCTACAATACATAACCAATTCTAGTATACAGCATAGCATAATAATCCCCAAAATCCCTATGCGAATACTGCAAGGCCCCTACGTTACTTCGGCTTGCATATTGCCGGGCTCCGGGTTCGCAGTGTCAGCTGCAACTGAACGGGAGTTGTTTGGTCTGCCGGCACGGAATCCCATGAAAAAGTGTTTAGGCTTTAGGGTTTAGGGTTTCGGGGACATGCAGGTTTGGAAGGGTCCACGTTGGACTTGGTAGTGACCTCGCAGTGCATCTTCCGATCCGTTCCCCAAGGGTCCAAGTATACAATAATCATATACTCTTCTGAAGACTAACCTAAAACCCTAAACCCTAAACCCTAAAAACTTCTATCCGTAGCCCAAGTACATGATTATTAGGTCC